GTGGCTCAGTCATTAAGCATCTGCCTTCAGCTCAGGTCATGATCCCAGGGTCCTGGGGTCAAGTCCCACATCAGGCTCCCTGCTCGGCAGGAAGTCTGCTTCTCCCTCTCCCACTGCCCCTGCTTGTGTTCCCTCTCTTGCTGTGTCTCTCTCTGTCAAATAAATAAAATCTTAAAAAAAAAAAAAAAGAGTTAAAAAAAAAAAAAAGCCCCACGCAGGGCTCGATCTCATGACCCTAAGATCACGACCTGAGCCGAAACCAAGAGTCAGATAAGCTTAACTGACTGCGGCACCCAGGCACCCCAAATGTGACTTTTGAACCTGAAATGTGGCCAGTGCAATTAAAAAGTTGGATTTTTATTTCATTGTAATTGAAATTAAAAGATAATCACATGTAAAGACAGTGTGGCAGTAGAAAATCCAAGAGCGTCCAAACCAAAGCTTGTCCTTATCTGGGCATATGTAAACTTCAGCCTAAATTGCCCAGACTATTTTTTTTAAATCGCCTGAACTATTTCTATTTTTGAATACAACAAACAGCTCTGAAGCTGACTTTGTTCCAAGTTTAAGTACTTTGGAAATACGAACTCAGATAAAAATTACACTAGTCCTATACGGTAGGTAGCAATATGGGTATCTGGCTGGCTCAGTTGGAAGAGCATGGGATTCTTGACCTTGGGTTTATGAATTTGAGCCCCACATTGGGGGGTAGAGATTATGTAAAAATAAAATCTTTTTAAAAAAAATAAAAAAAAGGTAGATAGCAATACTATCCTTATTTTAGGGATGGTACTGAGAGGTTAAATACTTTGCTTAGATAAGTGGGAGAGATAGGTTTCAAACCCAGGAAGATCTGGCTCTAGAGTCCTTACTCTTAATTACTTTGCTAAATATTAATTGTATTGTCCAAAATGGTAGCCACTAAGTATATGTAACTATTTAATTAAAATTAAAGTTCACTTCCTCAGTTGCACTAACTGCATTTTAAACTGCTACATAATGACATGTGGCTTGTGGCTGTTGTATTAGCAAGGAAGGAAAATTTCTGTTTTTGCAGAAAGTTCTATTGGAACAGAGCTGCTCTAGAGTATCATTGTCAGAAGGCACCAATATTAGTTTTGAATTTTGCCTTTTGTGTGCCAGGTTCACATTTACTGTATTCCTATTATGTCCAGGGTGATTTCTAGGTTTGGGGGCTTTAAGGGTGATCCAATAGACATAGTCCTGTTCTGTGAAATTTACGATCTAGTAAGGGGAATAGATATTAAACCGCAGCTCTGCAGAGCATTGAGGTAAAGATAACCTTTTGCATAAATGGCACTGGGACAAGTAGATGTTCATATGGGAAAAAAGAAAATTGATCCCTATCTCACACCATCTACAAAAATTAATTCCTATTGGGTTATAGATAAAGTGTGGAAAAGGTAAAACCTTAAAGCTTGTGGAGGATGATAGAAATGACTTCAGTATAGAGAAATACTTCTTAGACACAAATATCACTGACCATAAAAGAAAAAAATGGATACATCTGGTTACAGTAGGATTGCTGTTCAGCAAGACTTTAAAGATTGTCAACTGGCTGCAAAGGGTCTTATTTAGGGGCACCTGGGTGGCTCAGTCAGTTAAGCATCTGCCTTCGGCTCAGGTCATGATCTCAGGGTCCTGGGATCGAGTCCCACATCAGGCTCCTTGCTGGGCGGGGAGCCTGCTTCTTCCTCTGCCTGCCGCTCCCCCTGCTTGTGCTCACTCTCTCTCTGACAAGTAAATAAATAAAATCTTAAAAAAAAAAAAAAAAAGGGTTTTGTTTAGCTCTTGGAATGATCTCGGTCACATTTAAAAATGAGAATTTTTTTTTAAAAATCTGGACTTTAAGCCTTCTTTTGAAAGATAGGATTTGGAAACACTAGGCCCACAATTCCGTGCAGAGGCTGCCCCTTGGCAGGAGACACATTCTCTCCAGGTTACCACCAGCCACAACGGGTCCTGTTTTACACAACCTTCCTGGACCGTCCAGGCATTTGACTCTACAATATTGGTATTCAACAAGCACAGAAATAGCTTAGGAATTACCACATGTGCTACGTGTTCAGTAGGAAAAAGTACTGGGTTTTATGGGAGAGAAAAATGAGGAGTCCAACTATATATAGATAGATGGATTGGGGAGGGTCCTGCAAGTGACAGGTGAGCCTGGGCAAGTTGGCAGGGCAGAGTGGTGGGTCAGCAGACTCGTTTGTAAACTCAGATACAGGGTAGGTTGCAGATGTGGTCCCACATCCCACGTTGTGCCGGTTTCACAATAGTCTCAATGCAAGTTACTAAGCACAGGGGGAAGGAAGAGTGAACCCAGTAAGACTAAAAAGGGCCTATTAGCCAGGAGCCATGACCTAGGAATGATTTCCAATAGCAACACTATTAAGACAGGTGCTTAGAAGAAGCAAGCCAGGGAAGCTAGGAAAAGTTATCAGGCTCGGGGCGAAAAGAACCCAGAGCCTTCTTTTTATGTTTGGAGACATGACTGCCATGAAAATAAGGAAACCTGCAGAAAAGAGACCAAATTAACAACTAGATCCAGTGATAATGAGCTTTCTGGGGCACTGGTCCTCAGCAGCCCCACACTCTCACTGTGCTCTGTGACTGCAATTTCTTCTTTTTCCCCTTGTGAGTGACCTGCTTTTTTCCTGACACTGTATAACATTCTTTCAGAACCAGATGATCTCATTTCTCTGCACCCTATAGATCTCTTCAAAGAGAGCTCTGGGCACAAAGGAGATACATGGGGCGTGGAGAATAATATGAATATGCTCTCCAACCCAACATTGTTATGTGGCAAATGTTCAGTTTATAAGAGAATGTCCCAAGGGTGAGAATTCTTATTTAAGCACTGTCACAGAAATATTGTTGGTACTTCTCAATCTGATGTGTTTTTGCATTTTTATGATAGGTTCCGTATTCATCAAAAAAGAGATCACACTTTCCAGCACTTAAAAAAAAGAAGCGTGGCATGGAAAACATCCTCCGAAAATCAGATTTGACAGTAGGAAAACTTCAAATGCAGGTAGTGGACAAAGGCTTTTACTTTGTGTTTCAGAAGCATCGCAGAGGGCCGAGTTTAACTGAATGCACAGCCCTGCTAGACAGCATGGTTGTGGGAGGAAATTAATGATGAGATTAGCACAAAGAAATAATGTTAGTAGGGGGCATCCTGAGAGTGGCTAAAGGATTGCTAAGGGCACCTACGATGATGCTGTGTGCCTAATAAATATTAAGTGAATTCAATTAAAATGAAAGCATGCACAAAGGCTTCTTTTGAGAATAAATGAGATCGTCTTTACCACTGGGTGGTAAATGCATGTTTTCTTGCTCTGTTCACCATGACTTGAATTAGAATAATACTATGGGATTTGCAAAACGTCCACCAATTCCTGAAGTTGTCTCGCAGGAGAAAACCACCATCCCTTTGGTTTTGACAAGGGTCGGGCCTGGTTAGTACTTGGATGGGAGACAAGGCTTTCCAAAATATGGCTACATTTCTTTGCATCTGTCTGTCATAGGTGGATGACCTCATAGAAACAGTGACAGATAAATCCATGAAATTATTGGCCCAAAGACACGCTGAACTTCAACAGTGTGAATTTCTAGGGGACGAAATTCTTCAGTCTTCAAAGCAATTCCAGAGGATATCCAAGAAAACCATGAGGAAGTATAAATTGAAAAATGTATGTTTCCCATGTACCTGCTGCTGCTTCTGATTTAGTTCCTGACTGCGTAAGAGTTATTTTTATAGGAATTCTTATCTTTTGGTTCATAAACCTGAATACATCTCTCTAGTGAATTAATCAGTTGGGGAGATGGATATTTCTTAGAATATTCTGCCCAACAGTCCTTAAAGAAAATCTTTTGAAAAAATGATTTTTTAATTCTGAGTCAATGTTAGCAAATTTTTGCTTCATAATTCTTAATAATATTGGAAAACAGAAACATTTATCAGGGCATAGCAATTCTGCAGAGAAATTTCTCCCAGGATTTGCCAGATGAAATTAGAGGAAGCATTTAAAGGTATTATGACACTTTTAATATGACTACTACTGAGTTAAATTTAAACTTCCATATTTAAAGATAAGAATTCTTATTAAAATTACAAAAACGTAACATTGTTTAAGGTATGATTCATGCAAAGTGTCATGTTTCCGAACTAAAATAAATGGATAAGGATGGAACCTAACAAGTATTGAACATTAAATTCACTACTTAAGAAAATTGCAAGTGATTCAGCTTTAGCTGAATTTTTAAGATCATGAAATCCTTTATGCAAGACCGACCTTTTTTTTTTTTTAACGATTTTATTTATTTATTTGACAGACAGAGAGATAGTGAGGGAGGGAACACAAGCAGGGGGAGTGGCAGGCAAAGGGAAAAGGAGTAGCCGGCTCCCCAGTGAGCTGGGAGCCTGATGTGGGGCTTGATCTCAGGACCCTGGGATCATGACCTGAGCCGAAGGCAGACGCTTAACCGACTGAGCCACCCAGGTGCCCCAAGACCAACCATCTTAACAGTCTATTTTTCTCAGACAACATTTTCTTTGTCAATATGTTTTTTCTACTGAAAATGACTCCTAAATAATGAAAACAGTAGAAGAAAACATATCATCAAAACATTTAACAAGCACACTGCTTAAGCATTTCGGAGATCTAGAAGGCAATGCACATTGATTTAATTTACATCTTGTAATTACCTCTTATACCACTGATTGTTAGGATCGGGCAACCTCTCCCCAAATGAGCACATACCACAAACATTTTGTACATAATTTCACAAGTTCACAGCCCTCATGAAGCCTATTCATGAACTACATTTTCAAAGATGGTAACAATTTCCAGACTGACTCATTTTTTTCACGTACATCCTAGAAATGCCACTTTCTCACAATCTTCAACTTATTTTATAAACGAACCAGTCTTACCAGTTAAAAACTACCTAGAATACTAATGAGCACAAACATATCTGGCTTGAAAACATTTTATTAAACATTTTTGGGTATCGCTTCCTACCTTTTAAGTTTAAGAATAAAAAAGACATTTCAATACAAACAAATTTATACTGAAGTTTTTTTCCTTTGTGTAAAGAAATAGGAATGAACTTGTGCATTAGTATTTAAAAGCAAAGTAGTCCACTGCCAAAACTTTAAATAGCTCAAGAGCACAACAAATTCTAAACGCACTAGGAGCATGTTGTTACTTCCGCATTCTTCGGAAGGGTGAACCATTAGTCTGTTTATGGCTTAGGATCTGTTTCCATGGTGCTTTCTTGAGCTTCTTCTACCTCTGAGAGCTTTTCATCATCTGCAATTGAGAAAGAACCATAAAACTTTAGTCAAATTTGCTTAAATTATATGTTTAATGAATACATGACAACATTTTTATCCTTTAGTAGCCGATTATGTCTAAAACAAAGATGGCAAAATGGCAGCCTATGACTGTCATCAGCCCACACAGTGTTTGGTTTTTTTTTTTTTTTAAAGATTTTATTTATTTATTTGAGAGAGAGAGAGAGAGAGAAACAGCATGAGAGGGGAGAAGGTCAGAGGGAGAAGCAGGCTCCCCGCTGAGCCGGGAGCCCGATGTGGGACTCGATCCCAGGACTCTGGGATCATGACCTGAGCCGAAGGCAGTCGCTTAACCAACTGAGCCACCCAGGCGCCCCAGTGTTTGGTTTTAAAAGTGCTGTTTTGGTTTTTGGTGTTTATTAGTTAAGTCAAAATGTAAAATTTATGTGATGGAATACATTAAAAAAAAATCTAGGTTTTAGGTTTTTCTTAAAAACAATAAGGAGGTCAGATAACATCGGAATTTCCAATGGGTGACAGTCAATACAAAGAGCAAGTCTCCAGTTCCCCAAAGCACCTTCCATTCATGGACTATGCACTAATTACTCCACTCACTCACTATTGCCTGCCTGGGTCCTGAATTGTTACTTTATAGCAATAAACTATAATAAACCAAGAAGAATTCCAAATCTATCATCCCTGAATTTCTCTTACTGTGAACTATTGGACATGTATTTTAAATGATATATTTCTGCATAGATGCAGAAAGCTGGACAGCATGAACACTGCTAACATCATCCAGCTATACTCCTGTCCTGAAACTGAAGGTGTACTCTCTCAATAAGATATATTATTTTAGAAGGCACGCCCCTGGATCACTTAAAAGTCTTGATAAAAATTCATTCTGTGACTATTTCTACTTACTTTCTAGTGTTTGCTGAAGTTCGTGGATGGTACTAAGTAGAACGTGAAACTGTTTCCGTCTCAATTCCAGCTGTGTTAATGAGAAAAAAATTAATACACATTGATCTATACACATATACATATCATAGAGATCAATGTATGTGTACAAATACCTTATCTTCAACACTTTCTTTAATATGTGAAAGATGCTCTAGTTCCTTTCCCAGAGACTCTAGTTCCCTGAAAATAATAAAACAGTGTTATAGTTTGCTAGTTGGGGGGACAGAAGTCATAATTAATACCTAACTTTTTAGTTACTAAATAGTATTTTAAAAATTTAAAAAAAAAGGTAAGAAGTTATTACACTCCGTTATGATGAAACTTTGAAGCTAGGGATGATCTCTTCTTAAATTCTAAGTATGTACTTTTTTAATTAAAATCAAATTTCTAGATAATTTTTAAAACCTAAGAAAACACAGATAAATAGAATATCACACCACAAGAATTGATAACTTTTAACATTTTATCATACTTATTTGACCAAAATAAAGTCTTTTTTTTTTCCCCCTTGGTAAAAGAAATAAAACATTGCAGATTAACTTGAAATCCTCTTGGAACCTTATTGGCTATCCTCTATCTCAGACCCTTTTCCTCCTCTATTCCCCACTCAGGCAATCACTCTCTCACTCCAATCCTTTTTCATACATATATTTGTCTCTCTAAATAATATACAATATTAGTATATAATGGGGGGGGTTAACTTTTACAAATGTTATTCTGCATCTGTTAGAGAAGCTTAGGAATAACTTAAAATTCATTGTCTTCTGTTTTTCTTTTCACTGATTATGTTTTTCAGATCTGAGTTTATTTTTTTAAAGATTTTTATTTATTTATTTAAGAGACAGAGAAAGAGAGCACTAGCACAAGCTAGGGGAGGCAGAAGGAGAAGCAGGCTCCCACTGAGCAGGGAGCCCGACACTGGACTCGATCCCAGGACCCTGGGATCATGACCTGAGCTGAAGGCAGACACTTAACAGACTAAGCCACTCAGGCACCCCTGAGATCTGAGTTTAACAAGTGTATATCTAAAAAAAAAAGTGTATATCTAGTTTGTTCTTTTAAACTGTTCATTTAGTATTCTACTATATATATAGTATACCATATTTTATCTATTTTTATCTGATACATAGATAATATGCATTTATTTTAGAACTACAGACAGTAAGATCGGAGGAAGGAAAAACTCAATCAAGTGGTATTAGAATATGTAATTTGGAAGATCTGACCCCTCCTTCTGAAACACATTATGTACTCCTATAAAAATGGAATGCATAGGCTAGTATGTAAACATTTATATAGAAAGACTGATTCCTTTCAAAGTAAACTCTAAACTTACTTTAATGTTTCATGCCGGTCTGGATGGTGCTGGATCACTTTCGCCAAAGCGTCGTATTCTGAAAGATACAAAAATATTTACCAAATTAAGGTTTTTTTTGAACATGGATAGGAGAAAAAAGGTATAATATCACAGGTCTCTCCTAATCACTTTCTCAGTGCATAAAGAAATGAAAATACTGAAGGATGGAAAGAGTACTGCCAATGTCACTTGGTTCAACAATAACTATAATGATACATGATTTCAAAACTGTTCCAAACAAGGTCTTTTGCTCCCACTCTGTTTTTCCATTTACCTATCCCTGGGCAGGATATAAGAGGCCAGCATAGGAGAAGTGAACTTAAGCCATTCATTGATCATTAAGTGGACTGATTCTGAAGAGCATCTTATTCACTATTGGCCCAACAAAGAGAAGACCAGTGAGGTCAATATATCCTACCATTCATTTCAGATCTTAACAATGGCAAATTACACTTCTCATTCTCATTCTAAAGGTAAAGATTTCAGAAATTGAGTAACAATTTAAAATCCAGAAATGATAAAATTCCTTCCTTCTTTTCTACTGAGGCCTCCAAGTTTCCCTGTTATTTCCTGTTAACCTTGAAATGATGAATGGCAGCATTCATTTAAAAGCCTCAACTAGGGGCGCCTGGGTGGCTCAGTCGTTGGGCATCTGCCTTCGGCTCGGGTCCTGATCCCAGGGTCCTGGGATCGGGCCCCGCATCAGGCTCCCTGCTCAGCGGGAAGCCTCCCTCTCCCTCTGCCCCTGCTTGTGTTCCCTCTCTTGCTGTGTCTCTCTCTGTCACATAAATAAATAAAAATAAAATCTTTAAAAAAAAATAAAAGCCTCAACTAATCGAGAAAAACACTGTGAAACGTTTTTAAATGATTTTAGAATTGATAATAATTATTATAAAAGTTGGTATATCCCCTTTTGTAAATTGGTCACTGAACCTGACCACATGTATTTTTGAATGAGTTCAAGAACCAATTTTTTAAAATAAGAAGTATCTTAACTGGCTCATTAAAAAGTAAAATTATATTGTTTTGAAAATCAGCATTTTAATTCAATAAAAATGTGACTTTTAATACAAATTTTTTGGATTACAAAATAATGCATGATCAGTGCAGGGGTGAAAAAAGAAAAAAAAAAAAAGACCCCAAGCCATAAAAACCCATAGCCCCAAAATAACCGTTAACATTTTCTATTTCCTTCTAGCTTTTTATATATAGGTCACAATTGTGATTGTGCATTATATTTTTTATCTTCCTTTCTTTCAATTTACATTATAGGAGGAACAATGCCTGGTCATTAAAATTATTTTGAAATAGTTTTTATGGACTGCAATGAGGACATACCCTAATTAAAAAACAAAAGAGGGGTGCCTGGCTGGCTCAGTTGGTTAAGCATCTGCCTTCAGCTCAGGTCATGATCCCAGGACCCCAGGAGGGAGCCCCACATTGTGCTCCCTGATCAGTGGGGAACCTGTTTCTCCCTCTCCCTCTGCTGCTCCCTCTGCTTGTAATCTCTCGCTCTCTCTGTCAAATAAATGAATAAAATCTTTAAAACAAACAAAAAAAACAAAAGAGAGTAGGACAAAGCTAAACTTTAAATGTTCGCTTGTTTTGTACTTAATAAAAACTCACGGGACTTAAATGCTTTTCTTTTTCCTGGAAAGTAACTCCATGAAACAACCAACCAACCATCAAAACCTTAGGTCTAGTGTACTTGTGTGAACTGCCTTTGCTGATTAACCATAACATTACTTAGGCAAAGGGGTCTGAAGACAGTAAAAAAAAAAAAAAGATGAATACTTAAGAAATATTTGGATTGGGGTGCTTGGGTGGCTCAGTCATTAAGTGTCTGCCTTCGGCTCAGGTCATGGTCCCAGGGTCCTGGGATCCAACCCCGCTTTGGGCTCCCTGCTCAGCAGAAGCCTGCTTCTCCCTCTCCCACTCCCCCTGTTTGTGTTCCCTCTCTCACTGTGTCCCTCTATGTCAAATAAATAAATAAATAAATAATCTTTTAAAAGAAATATTTGGATAATCAATACAATCCAGCAAAAATTAAAAAAAAAGTTTTTCAGCATAGCCTTCCTCCTCTACTATTTTAAAGAATAATATAGTTTTAAAGAATTAAGTTTAGCTCTTAATTCTTTTTAATAATTCAGACTGATTCTTGAAGATTTTACCACACAACATTAAAAACTGCATGAAAACAGTACTCAGTAATAAAGCATTTGCACACTAAATCCCATAAAACCCTTACCTTGGCGATTTTTTCGTATTCTCTTTGCTTGAAGAATTTGCTTTTTGCACTCAGCAATTTTTTCATGTGCTCCAGCAATGCTACATTCTATATGAAAAGGTTTTTTTAAAGACAGTTGCAACGACGTTCATCCATTTTCAATTTTAAAATGTGTTTTTAAATTAAGTTCCATTGCTAATAAAATAGATGCTGGTGTTTAAAAAATAGCTACAACCCAAAGTACTGTAATCATATCAGAATACATTTTTGTAGCTAACATTTACTATATTCTTTCTATTAACATTGTCATTGTTATTATTTTACCACTAACCAAAGAAAAATGCTAGTACATATTATCTCCTTTAGACCATAAAAATTAAAATTTTACATGGAAACATTAATTTTCTTTACCTATTTCTTTGTAAATTTTTTCATAATTTTCCATTTCTCTAAGATTCATATCATATACCAGCAAAGTTTTGCCCATTGAAAATTCACATTGGGACAGTGTGCTCAGCATACGTTGGTACTGACTATATCTAATGGAAAAGAGAGAAACAGAATAAAGATTTTTGTGAAATACCAAAGTTGAACTATTATATATTACAGTGCAGGCAGAACTATCAAGTTCTAAGAGAATCATGTTCTTTATTTAAAATAATTTAGAACATCTTTCTCTTATGTTTAATTTTTCCTAATGGGATGTACTTGGATTTATAAACTGCTTTAGTTACAAGTGCAAAGATGGGACTGCTGTTCTTATCAATATAAGCTTAGTTCAAACAACTACTTGTTTGAATTTTGTTTAAAATACTTTTTAAAATGTTTTAATCAAGGGGCGCTTGGATGGCTCAGTTGGTTAAGCGTCTGCCTTTGGCTCAGGTCATGATCTCAGGTCCTGGGATCCAGCCCCGTGTGGGGCTCTCTGCTCAGTGGTGAGTCTGCTCTCCCTCCCTCTCTCTCTCAAATAAATAAAATCTTAAAAAAAAGAGTCTTAATCAAGATGGTTTATCCTCAACTTTATTTTCACATTTTTTCACTCTTTACAATGATTTATGTGAAAAGCTAATTCAAATGAGGGAAATTTTTCTAAGGCAAAAAAAGTTATTAAATATATATAAAACCTTGCAATCTATAAAAACTTCTTATGAGCTTCTTAAAGAAAGAGAAAGTTGGGGCACCTGGCTGACTCAGTCGGTAGTGCAGGTGACTCTTGGTCTCAGAGTCCTGAGTTCAAGCCCCACACTGGGCCTAGAGCTTACTTAAAAAAAGGGTTGCTGGAGGGGAGGGTGGTGGGGGATGGGGTAACTGGGTGATGGACATTGGGGAGGGTATGTGGCGTAATGACCACTGGGTATTATGTAAGACTGATGAATCACAGACCTGTACGCCTCAAACAAATAATCTATCTTATGTTAATTAATTGAATTTAAATTTTAAAAAAGAAAAAGTAAGACTGACACAAATATTTTATGTAAAAAAAAAAGAAAAAAAATTTAAAAAGAAAATTTCATTTAGATATTTTGTCTAACTAAATGCTAAAACTGACCAAATTAATGAGCCAGAATTTAATCCTTATTTCTTACCACTACACCTTCTGCACATTTTAATAAACATAAAGCAGTTCTCTGAAAGAAATAAGGGCCAGAAAATCTACACTTGATTAAGCCAGAGTTGCCTCCATAGGACAATTGAAGGTGAGTGAAAATCTGAAATACTGACAGGGCTGTTGTATACACGGTCTAAACTTTGATCAGGACATCTGTGTAGAAACAACAGTGAGATGAAATACCCCTCTTCCTGGGACCCGGAGTTGCACCATTTAATGAAACTTTTCACGAGCAGATTGATTCTCCGATCATCTCCAGCACCGTCTCCATCAATTAGGAGACGCTTTCGTATGACTTCGTCTGGAGGGAAGAAGAACAACGTGAATTAAGACGATGGTCTCGCTCTTGATGACTTTCAGGGACAAATAACCAGTATCACAACTTATTCATCCAAAAGAAAACCACTGAGACGCAATTATACTTCAAGCCACTAAACTGTATACTTACAATGGTTAAGATGGCAAATTTTATGTTTTGTAGGCTTTACAACAACTTATGTATATATTTTTATGTCAATATAAAGATAGTTATTTAGTGACTAGTGTGTGCAGGCATTGTATTAAGGGTTGGGGTTATCAATGCGCTCACGGAACGAGAATTCTACTCCTGGGGTGCTGAGTAGAAATAGTTTTCAGGTATCACCAAGGAAATAAGCCCATAGTTCTTGGAGAACTTTGTTTTGGAAAAACCTGTTCACACAGAAGGAAGGCTGAAGTGTTCCTATCTCTGACTAGTGTGAGGTAGTGGTGAAAGGCACAGAAAGAAGAGATTTGAAAGATGTAGTGGCAGACTGGGTGAAAAGAATGAGTGATGGGTCGGAGAAACGGGAATGGATTTGTCAAAAAAAAAAAAGCGTAATTTAGTTATTACATCTGTAATGTTTCTTTCCCCATGAAGACTTTTTTTTTTCTTTTTTAACAAGTCTGTCTCACTTTTGCTTCAAGGGAAAGAAGAGGAAAATGAAATCAAAGAGCGTGGCAGATAATAATGATGAGTAATAAGTGGGGCTCCAATCTGCCTGCCTGGTAGTGTTCTTGCTGGACAAAATAATGCTGGATCATAACAAGAGAAAGGCAGATTGAAACCCAATAAAACATAATTTTTCAAAAAGATTTATTTATTTATTTGAGAGAGAGAGCTCACGCGCATGGGGGAAAAGAGTGAATCCCTAAGCAGACTCTCCACTGAGCAGTGAGCCCGAACAAGGGCTGGATCCCATGATCCATGAGATCATGACCTGAGCCAAAACCAAGAGTCCGAGGCTTAACCTACTAAGCCACCCAGGTATCCCAAACATAATTTTCATATCAGATTGGCAAAGATCAAAATACCCAATAAAAAGTGTTGGCAAGGATACTGAGAAATTGCACTTACGTACACTGATGGAATGTAGACTGGTAGGCTCTTTCTGGGACAAATGGGCTATCATAAACAAGATTTCAAATGCATGTATCTTTTCAACCCCAGAACTCCAATTCTAGGAATTCATCCCATAGATACCACGTGCATCCATCCACAAAGATAAATGTAAAGAGTTCTTAGTGCTCTTTGTAGTAGAAAGACTGCAAACCTAAACGTGTACCAGTAAAGACTGGTTAGATTATGAAACCTTCATATAATGTAGTATGATGCAGCCAATAGTGTGTATGTATATACCAATGGCAAGAAATCTCCTTTGGTACAGGAAGTGAAATGAAAACAAAACAGGTGGAAAGAAGCACACAGTTTGCGGTCATTTGTGCAGAAAAGGGGGAGGCTTTGTGTATGTCTGTGTGCATGTGCACACATCACACATGTATGTATGTATTCAGAGACCATCTTTGGAAAGAACACAAGAAACTGGTAATAGTGGTTTCTTCTGGTGAGCTGGACTACAGAGGGGATGAGAAAAAATTTAATTTTCTATATCATTTCACATAATTGTTTGTTTTTCACCATGTTTGTGCATTATCTTTTAAAAATAAATTTTAAAGTGTGACTAATTCCTGGAGAGCCTGCACGATGAATCAACAGCAAAATCTTTAAACAACAGTTCCTGTGTGTAGGCAGAGTATTTTTGAGTGCAGGTGCAACGGAGATAAACTTTGGAAGGCAGGTGGCTGCAGTTTTAAAATCTGTTCTGTGACAACACCGGATAAACATTTTTAGAATTGGGTTCTGTTCTCAGAGGCATGGCTTTGACAGGCGGCTCAAGTTATCAATTCATCAGGTATTTTAATTTTACACTGTAAAATACAACCTAATGCTTTCAGTTTTTGACCACCAACACTATTATCTGAAGAGCCTGAGACAAAGCAGTCCTCAAAGAGATTAAAATGCAGAAATGAACTGATTTTATATTACAAACATGCTTTAACTTTGTTAAAAGTAAACATCCAGCGGGTGAGCAGTCTGATGTTTGATGCTGTTCAATTCCTTTCCTTTCTTTTTGTTCAATTTCTCGTTCTCTTATCTCTGCTCTTCCAACCCCCCAACAAACCCCATCTTCATCCCAGATACGTGGACATTCTACTTTATTGAGGACCAGCGATAATAGGGAATAGAAAATTGGGAAATGAGTACCCTAATGGGGAAACTATTACCACAGCTCGTTTTTCAAGAGATTTTTAGAGTTTGGTGACTAACTAAAAATGGTTCAAGCACATTTTGTGATCATTCCAGCTGTAGAGTTAAGATCTGTGTACTTTTATATATGCAATATCCCAATTATAGGCTTTTGAAAAATGTTTAGAACACTGTACAGGCCAAATAAACTTGGGGAAAAGGTTCATGAGGGCCAGTCCCGTGTCTTATTCATTCTGTTTCCTCCCCAACCTCTCACACTGTGTCTTTACACTTCTCATGTGCAATAAATTTTTTATTTTTTTAAAGATTTTATTTATTCATTTCAGACACAGAGATACAGAGAGAGAGAGAGAGAGAGAGCATGAGCAGGGGGAGAGGCAGAAGCGGGCTCCACGCTGAGCCAGGAGCCCGATGCGGGGCTCGATCCCAGGACTCTGGGATCATGACCTGAGCCGAAGGCAGACGCTTAACCATCTGAGCCACCCAGGCGCCCCTCATGTGCAATAAATATTTTTAAATTGGATTTGTGGTGCCTGCTTGGGACCATCTGCCCTCCAAAGAGTTTTGTCTCAATAAACTACTAACAAGGACCAGCAGGCAACCATCTTATTTTCAGGTCCAAAGCAGAGATTTCTCTTCTTGTACAAAAGACATGAATACTTGATCAATGAGCAGATGTGTCCATAGGGTACCAGACTAGTTCTGAGGATGTGAGATAACGACCTGAGCTCTTTTGCTCTAGGTGGAGAAATAACATGCATATGAACACACAAGCAGAGGAGACTGGGATTGTTAAATGAATGACAAAGACATGCACCAGAAAGATATTAGGAGGACAGCTTCCTTTGGCTTGCGGGAAGAGGGGGAAATGGAATTTGAGCTGATCTTTTCATACTTAAAAATCATCAGTCAATGGGGCGCCTGGGTGGCTCAGTCAAGTAAGTGTCCGAATCTTGGTTTTTTGCTCATGTCATGATCTCAGGGTCCTGTGATCAAGCCCCACATCAGGCTCCACTCAGCACAGAGTCTGCTTATCTCTCTCTGCTCCCCACCCTGCCGAGTTCTCTCTCTCTTAAATAAATAAACAAAATCTTTGGGGCACCTGGGTGGCTCAGTTAAGCATCTGCCTTCGGCTCAGGTCATGATCCCAGGGTCCTGGGACTGAACCTCGCATCAGGCTCCCTGCTCAGTGGGGAGTCTGCTTCTCCTTCTCCCCCTGCCTGCTTGTGCTCTCTTTCTCTTTTGTTCTCTCTAATAAAAATAAAATACATAAAGAAAATCTCCAAAAAAAACATCAATCAACAAAGCTAAAAGGTATTTTAACAATATTTACCTACACCTCAAATAACATATACCCTTTGGCCCAACAATCCTAGATAAACTTATACGTATACAATATGACTATGTCCATCAACAGGGGGCTAGATAAATTTTGGTACAAGAATATAATGGAATACTATGAAGCCATAAAAAAAAAAAAAACCCAAAGAATGAGGAAATGTCTATGTGCTGATACAGAGAGATCACTTAAGATAACTTGATAAAAGAGCAAGGTGAGGAACAGTATGTATGGCATGTTTCCTTTCACACATAAATGGGGAGAAATGAGAATATATGCTTATATTCATACAAATACCCTGGAATGATACACAACTAATAAAAGGGGTTATCAAGGGAGAGGGGCAGTGTAAGTGGGATAGAGAACAGGCTGGAAGACGGGGGAATATCTTTTTACATTATTTGATTTTTGAACCATATGAGCACTCAAAATCTGTTAGCTGTTGTTTGAAAAAGAAAGCTATGATTATGGTGATGGTATCACAGGTGTTTGCATATGTCCAGATGCATCAAACTGTACACATAAAATACTCAAGTTCTTTGTATAAAATTATCCCTCAATGAAGCCACTTTTAAAAAAAAAGAGGGGTGCATGCTGGCTCAGTCGGTAGAGCATGCAACTCTTGATTGGGGTTGTGAGTTAGAGCCCCATGCTGGGTGTAGAGATTACTTAAAAAAGTAAAATCTTTGGGGCATCTGGGTGGTGCAGTCAGTTGAGCAACCGAATCTTGATTTTGGCTCAGGTTGTGATCTCAGGGTTGTGAGATCAAGACCTACGTGGGGCTCTGTGCTCATTGTGGAGTCTACTTAAGACTCTCCCTTTGCTACCCGCTGCCAAATAAATAAATCTTAAAAAAAAAAAATCTTTAAATAAATAAATATTTAAAAGGGGGAAAAAAAATTAAAAAGCAAGCTAAAGTCTCTTCCCTGTCCCCACCCCAGACAGGGAGAAAGCTGTGAGCTCCAACAAAGGTGGGGAATGAAAGGCTAGAACACGTATGTGCACATGAGAACATTAGGGAGGCTGGACAAATCTTGGGACCCAAGTACAGAAAGACAGAGGTCAGAATGTGGGAGTCTGCACTAGTGAGTGCCGTACCTGTGGGCTTGGACTTTGTTGGTAGGCAACTGGGAGTTGCTAAAGATTCAGGAGCAGGACTTTCTAGGAGGATTAAGCTGAGAGCAGTGTACAAAATGGACTGCAGCTGGGAAAAGCCCAAAGGCAGGGAAGCTATTAGGAGGCTATCAAAAAAACATGCAGTAGGAGCTAAAATGGCATGAAAATTAGAGATTAGAATCACAGGTCCTGGGGCAGGTTAGGACTGAGCAGAGACTTGGCTAGGAAAAGGCAGGGGCCAATGCCAAGGTGCCGTGTGTAGGAGTGTGGCAGTCCAATT